AATCCCATTTGGTACCAAATATCTTTTGAAATTCACTCAGCATCACAACCCCAATCCCATTTGGTACCAAATATCTTTTGAAATTCACTCAGCATCACAACAGTCTCCTTTGAAAACATTTGTGTGTTTAGTGTCAACAAATGGTTACGATTTGGTAATATCTGATTCTCTTCTTTTTTTCTCTCTTAAAGATAGTGTTTTTAGAAGAATCATCTCAGCAGGAAAAACTGGCCAAAGAGTGGTGCTTCAAACCATGTGAGATCAGAGAGCTGAGCCACCAGTAAGTCTCTGCCAATGCCTTCCAATTTGCTGGGAGCAAGTGCCAACGTTCAAGTGATGAGAAGTGTGCCTTGAGAGATGGAGCAGGCTTTCTAATTTAAGCAGTTGGCTATCAGTGGGGAAGATGGGTGAGAGGAAAGCAATCTGAAGAACAGAAACTTTGAGGACAAGAGGCTGCTGTCATTCCTTTATTAAACATCTGTTGGGTATTTTGTGTGAAGTATTAAAATCTTGACAAGTCTTTACCCCCATATAAGCACATGGGAGGGTGGGGACAAAACAGGGAAACCATCAAGGAACAGACTGAGAACCAACCATTCTGATGGCATGCTTAGCGAAGACCTGTGTCCAGAATGCATTTGAGTTGACATTTTAATGGTCTTTACAATTTGTATAAAATGTATTTTCTGTGCTGGGCTGTCTCCATAGTCTGGCTGATTTCTTTTGTACAAATGAAAGCACTTGTTATAAGCTCAAATACTTTTATCTAATTTCAGAAGGCTATTTTTCCAAATCAAATAAAAGTGGCACCACCATTTTTATTCTGAAAATATGTTTAAAACTTGGGAAGTGACTTTAGGATGAAGTAATGAAAAATTCATTTAACTAGTGATGGTATTCAAACTGGGTGACGTGGGCCTTAGCCTGCAGTCAGCTGTTCTGGTTGTGTGGCTTCTTTTGGTGTTTGCCATTTATTTAGACCATGAGTGGAAGGGTGGAAAGTGCCAGCACACGCCTGTAATCCCAACACTTGGAGGAGGACTGCAGGTTCAAGACTAGTCTGTGTTACATATTGAGACTACACCTCAAAAAGGAAATGAGAAGTGGCGGGGTACAGGCGGAGGGGAATGAGTGGGATATGAAACTGTGGTTGTAGGTTAGTGATAGAAGACATGCTTATTATGTATAAAGTTCTTGGGTTTTATTCCCAGTAGTACAAAAAAAAGTTAAATATGTGACAGATTTTGATGATTCCCCATGGAAGGCCTCACCCTCCCTGGGGAGTAGATGGGGGCATCGGTGGGGGGCATGGGAGAATGGGAGGGAGAGGGAACTGAGATTTATATGTAAAATGAAATTGTTTCTAAATTAAGTAAAAATATATTAAAAAGTTAAAAATAAAGAAATAGAAAAGATGGGTAGGTGTTTTGATTACTGTGTATAGGGATGTATAGTGTTCTTGATTTTTATAAGGTTAAACTACTATTTCAGGTTTAAAACGTGAAGTTGATGTTCTAAGGGAATTATGCTTACTAACATAGGATGGAAAAGGCTGAAAAGTGATGAGAGGAGAGCTACTTCATTTCTGTCTGGTGCAGCCAGTGGGCCACCTTTTTTGCTGTGTCTGAAGTTAGCTCCTGATAGGTACTATCCAGCTCCAAGTCATTTTATGAATAGTGAACAGACTTTTCACCTTAGCAAGGGCATTGACAAATTACAAGTCTGTAACCATCCCCAAGCTGCATCTTTCTGTCTGTAAGATGAGGTGGTACACTTGAGGGCTTTCTTCCACCTGCTTCTCCCACACTACACACTCTCGAATCTTTATCTCAGCAAACCCCATACTCACCCCTTAAGTATGTGGACTTTGCTAATGTCACAGCCCAGTGCTTGCTGTATTGGGTAAAAGCCACTCAGGCTGCAGAGGGTCCTTCCTAGCCCATCTTCTTCTCTTGAAGGCTGCACCCTCAAATACCTCCTTTCCTCTTGCCTCTTTTTTTACTGATAGCACACACCGGTTTCCCTTGCATAAAAGAGAACAAAACAAAACGAAGTCTCATGTACTCTTCCCATCCTCATATTTTGCTATGAAATATGCCCAATTCTCTATCACCCACATCTGGAGCACAGCACTTCTCAGCACCTTGGACAGAACTAACACAGCTTGAGTAAATTCCTTAGATGTCGAATGCCCTGGGCTCACAGCATTAGAGATACTACAGTTTCTCTGAGGCTTTGTATATCTTGCCTTCAGATTTATTTTTGTCACTGGTCACTCCACTGCCTCCTTTGTCATTCTCTCTGATATCTCTGTGTCCTGGGTCCCCACTATTTTCTTGACAGTTTGGCCGATGGCAGTCACCATCACCTTCTCTTCCTCTGTCCTTACGTGGGTGCTGTTGCTCAAGATTTAGCTTTCTTTCTATAGAAATTCCTGGCATCAGCAGCTTGTAGACAAGCTCCTCAACCGTGAACCCTGTGCTTAACTCTTGTGTGACTTTCCCCACATCTTCAGTAAATTCTCAGACAGTTAGAGGCCACTAGCTAGGGACTAGATACGGTTTTGAATGTGTCCTTGAAAGGTTCATATGCTGGAAGTTGGACCCAGTGTGAAGATGTTGAGAACTGGTGGGACTTTTGAGAGGTGGGACCTGGCTGGAGGTGATTGATGGTGATCTTGCAAAGAGAGGGAGTTTTGTGAGAGTGTATTCTATTAAAGTGGGTCTACCCCATACAGTAGGCTTATTCTGTATGTAGCTGGTTATTTTTATAGTTCTCTGTGTGTTGTCTGTAAAAAAAAAAGTGTACTTTTTGCCTAGATCATGCACATACATCTTTAGAAGTATGAGATTAAGAAACCTCTTTTTAAAGCAAAGTATCTAACCTTAGGTTGTTTGTTACAGAAATAGGAAATAGTCTATAGCATCATACTTTAACATTTAGCTTAAGCTGACACTTTAAGAACCTGCAAACCTGATTCTCCAACCAGGTTCTTTGTACTTTGTATGTTCACCCTCATGTGTTCAAGCTATCTCTCTGACTCATAACATTTGCCCCTAGGGACTGATAAAATATTAAATTCTTCCTATCATATTTGTCATTTGCCTTTCTGTTTCCATTACCATGATATCCATTCAGAAACTTTGTGTGTGCTGTAGGAGTCTCCTAACTCATGTTTTTTTTCTTTTTTGTGTGTGTTTGTAGGTTTTTTTGTGTTTTCTTGTTTGTGTGTAAGGATGTGTGCATGTGTACACGCATGCATACATGTAGATACAAGGGATTGCCATTCCCCACATTATTTGTTGAGGTGAGGTCCCTGTATTGAAATCCAGAGCTTATCAGTTCTACTAACGTGTCCTGGGGGCCCCTTATCACTGCCTTCCCTGTACTGGGATTAAAGGTGAGCCACCATGCTCTCCTGGTATTTATGTGGGTGTTAGAGATTTGAATTCTGGAAACACTTTATTCACTGAGCCATCTCTCTGGCCCCTCAACATCATCTTTTGGTAGTGATTCAAATTATTGGAAGAATAGTTGCTTTTTGTTTTCCTGTTTAATAGTATCCCATGGGGACAGTTTATCTGTATTTTCCCATAACAGTTATTTATATTGTTTCCAATTTGGGGCTATAATATGAACAAAGTTGCTGCAACATTTTTGCACAACCAATTTTATAAACTCCAGCTTTCTTTCTCCTGAGTAGACATTTAGGGGTGAAATTATTCACTAAGAGCCTCTGTAAGACAAGATCTCTGTCTCTGTCTGTCTTTCTTTCTCTCTGAAACACACATGCCCCTAATATCTTGAGCTATTATATTATACAGTCTCTGAAGGCAGGGAGATGCCTTATTTCTCTATAGAGTCCCCACAAGTCTTAACAGAGTTTCCTAAACATGATTGGGAAACATCTGAAGATTACCCAACTGCATATGAACTCAAAGCTGTTTGACTTTGTGGTGGTAGAGGAAGTAAGAACCCCAAGGACAGAGGTAATCGGAGAGGGCAGTGACTGACACATTTCATACTGGAGACTCCCTTGAAAATTTCTTACCTACTCACAAGTTGTTACCATTCTTTGTCACCTAGAGTGTGGCTAACAAGAGTGCTGAGCCTAGAGGGGATCTGCCACGGTCAAGGTGCCCCCCACCCCAAGCTCATGGAGTTAATGATTCGCTTTTTCAAGCTAAGGACATTTCCGGAGCTTATGTTTATTGTTATAAACCACTCTCCAACTCCATATGCTGAGATCATCACATTATCATTGCCACTGGCAGTTACTGATGCTTCTGTTTGCTAGACTCCACTCTTGTATGCAGTAATGTACTTCCCACAACCCTATGGTCATAACACTCATTTTTCATATAGTAAAGATGAGAGACAGAGACTAGATCACATGACACATATCCCACTGCTGGCTAATGGTGGTCCTCATTTAGGCTGGCTGACCTAGAATGTATTGTGTAACTGCCGTAGCAATCTGCCTACCATAAGTGACGTAATACTCAGAGGAAACTGTGTCCAGTTCCAGTAAGTGTTAGCTTCTTGCACCACAGCCTCATTACTACATTCTAGTTCCTTTTTAACATAGAGCATTTTAAAGCTGCTCATGGCTGCATCTTACATCTGGATGTATGGATGCATTTCATTTACTGGATAAGAGCTTTTCCTTGTGGTGTCAAGTGCTGAGTCCAAGTCCTGTGGGTGATTTTCCAGTTGTTTTAGGTGAAAGTAGTAGAGTAAATATCATCTGTTAATAGATGTGTGTTTGGATGAGTTGTTACAACGAGTGCCCCGGGGAACTGAATTAGCTCTTTAGATGAGCTGTATGTGTCTACAAGCATTTGCCTTTCTCCCTTCTGTGGATAGTGCTTCTGAAAACTTAAAAATATCTATTCAGAGCTCCTTGGTGTAAAAATAAGTGAAAATATGGCTGGGGAGGCTCAGCTGATCGGCAGCAAGAATGGAAAGCTGGGCATAGTGCTGCATGCCTACCATCTCAGAAGATGGAATCAGCAGAAACATGAGTTCAGTGCCAGCCTGGGCTGTACATCAAAGCATGTCTCAAAAAGGAAAGAAAAGAATCAGAGCAGGGATGGTGGTTACAGCATCATACCCTCTCCCCCCCCCTCATTGCTTCACCTTCAGACCAACAGTTCATTTCTACACTTTCCTGGCAAACATCAGGGGTCTCAAAGCAGCCCAGGCATGTTCTTGATGCTTCTGTTGAGAGCTTAGTCTTTGAGCACATGGAAAAGGACAGGATTTCTTGCAGCCTTCTAAGATGAAGAGGACCACAGAGCTTTAAGTCATTGTTTTTCATCTTTACTCCCCCTCTGTGATATGATGATATGTCCTTGTCCCTTAGCCCAGTTCTTGAAGCTTGAGGACTCTATTCCCACCTCTACTCTCTGTCCAGTTGTAAGAACATTACCATAGGACTAGCCATGGCTTCTCTCTTTTCTTCTGCTACAGCAGCTTGGCTTCTGTGCTTTCCTTCCCTCCACCATCTCTTAACTAGAGCTGCACCCATTGCAACTTAGGTGCTCTCTCTTATGGGACAACTTTATTCTTATTTTCTGATCTCTTTAAATAAGAAAACTTAGAGCTGTAAATGTGTAGAATAAATGAAACCCCTGTCTAAAGATGCTCCTAAATGATTTTTTTTCTCCTTACTTCCCAGTGAGTTCTTCATGCCAGGCCTTGTTGATACACACATCCACGCTCCCCAGTATGCCTTTGCTGGAAGTAATGTAGACCTGCCACTTTTGGATTGGCTGACCAAGTACACCTTTCCTACAGAACAAAAGTTCCAGAGCACTGATCTTGCTGAAGAAGTCTACACCAGAGTTGTCGTGAGTAGTCTGTGTGTGGGTGTTGTGTAATGTTTTATCATCTATTCAAACATTCATTTCTAAGACCAAACTGCAGTGATAAAAAAGTTAAGGTTGGGGTGGACTGTGTCAACATTCATTTTAAGTCCTTTCATTATCCACTAGCTTGCCACCCTCACAGTGATGAGGAAAGAACATGAGTGTAATGACCCTAGTCTCAGTCTAGTGGGTTCTCCTACAGCACTCTTTTATTCTTGTATTCTGGGTGTGTTCTCTCACTGTAGCCAATGCATAGTGCTGTTCTGAGGACCATATGGAATATCCATGTGACCTTTAGAAGGCTCTGTGACTCACTGTCCCCATCTGTAAAACTCAGAGATAACGATAGAACCTACTTGATGGATTGTTATGACAATTCATGAAGTTAATATTTTTGAGGTCCTTTAAATAGTGCCTAGCACATGTGTCTTGTCATTTTTTTAATCTTCAAGGAAACATTAAATTTCAAATTACTTTTGGGAGGATATCACACTATTTTAGTAGGTTTTTGAGGAGGGAAGACAGGATGGTCCCACATTGCAGAACAGGTGGGAAAGTGATGCAAGGATGGACGGTGTTAGTGGGAAAACACTGGAGCCAGGTCAGTCCCTGATCGGTGGCCGCTTTGGGTGTCCACTGTGTGTTGATGGCTGGAAAAAATGGGCCATTTTCTCCTTTTTCATAAAAACTAGCTCCAGAATAAGAGCACACCCAGAAACTGGAAAACCATAGGCAGTAAAGAAGGTAGAACACAAATGCTTTTCATCTGGCCTCTGGCCTCTGCCTCCTGCCGTGAACTCTCATTGGATTTACTAGTGTTCTGGGGCACTGGCTACACACCTTCCAAACGGAAATCAGCCTAGCCATTCCACCAGTTTCTTGTCTTGTATTATCTCAGTCTCAAAGAGTAGAAACTAGTGCTTACATTCTTTCAGTTGTCTTGCTCATTTATAATTGTGGGACCTATATTTTAGCCTGCATCCACATGACACTAGAAAAACTGAGAAGGGCTAAAAGCTGGTTATGAATTGGCTAGCACACTGTGTTAATGAATTGTGTTAACCACACCAAATCTTTATCTTCAAGATGTATTTATACCTCACATTGTTCTAAAAAGGGTTTGAAATTGCTTAAAATTGCATAGTATGAAACAAAAGGAAATGAGTCATCAAAGCACAGAAAAGGAAAAGGAGGGGATGGAGAAATAAAACCCAAAGTCAACGCACTCTCTTGGTAGAGTCTGTCATAAATTTTGCTCTGTTTCTACCACATGATGTAGACAGGGAAGTCAGAAATGAAATTCACACTGTGTGTGACTTTGAGAGTCACAGTTGTTGGAATAAAAGCATATCTGTTCTTTATACTGAAGTTAAAAGATTAATTCTGACATTGCTTAATGTGGATGGATATTATGCTGTCAAAATACATTTGTAAAGATGGTTAGTGTTAGAAGAGAGAAAAGGAGAATGAAGGAGAGGGAGAGAGGGGGGAGAAAGGAAGGGAAAATTCCACTATATCAGACCTTTACACTTGAATTATATATCCTTCAGACAGTGTCTATACATATTTCTTCATCATAAATGTAGGTATTTAAAGTCAGTTAGCTCAAATGGTCTATTCCTGACAAGTATTTATTTGTCAGACATGCCCTATGGTTCTGGTTATGAGCAGGCCTACACATGCTGACAGAGATTAGGATGGAGTTGACCTCTGCTTAAGAGAGTTGGCATTCCTCCTTCATGCCCTCGCCTCCTCTCCCCTGCCCTTTCCTCATTTCTCCTTCCTTCTTTGTGTTCTCTCTGTCTTCTCACTTGGCTGTACTTTGCATAGATTTCTGAATGTTTGAGTGTTTTTAGTTCATTCCAGTCAAATATGAAAGTACAGCTTCTCATCTAGTTCAAGCTTTTCCTCATGAGAACCCAGGCTGGAGGGCTTTCCTCATACCATATCAGCACTGACTGACTGATAAGCCTTATTATAGGATGCACTTTGTAAACAGGCCCTGGAATCACTGTGAGAACATATTTTCTAGCCATTCATTTACTCTGGGAAGGAATTGTCTTCAGGAGCTGTGGGAGTGGCATGCCTGGGTGACTGAGGACACCGGAGATGAGCTAGAGCTCCTCTTAAACCCTACCCGCTTCTTGATTTGGGGGGATTTGTGCCCTTTCCACACTCACCAGTTTCTACAGAGAGTGACTCCCCTCCGCAGAGGTTAGGAATGATTGGGTGACTTCTACAGGGAGGGGGAAGTGACTGTATAGACTCCAGCCAGCGTCCTGCTAGCACCCCCATGGGTCCACCCTCTTTTCAAAGTTTCCAGGTCCTTCTCTGGGTTCTTTTCTGCAGTTGTCTCATCTTGTGATTTTCTTGGGGGTTAACCCTGTTGCTTTCACTTACCGTTGTATAAGTGAAAAATTGCTAAGGAAAAAAGACAGAATGATCATCGTTCTGCCAGGTGGAAGCAGAAGTCTGGCTGAATACATTTACTTTGCCATACACAGAAAAATCCCATTTGTACAGTCACATATAAATAAAATCCAAGTATCCTCACACAATCCCTAAGGAACAAGGAGTTAATTGGCACCACACTTTATGACCTCTGAAACACACAACCAGGACATTTAAAGTACCAAGTTTTCCTTAAGCTCACACTTTTAGAATATAAATACTTTTGCCATTTACTTAGGTCTCTTCCACATCAAGATGGCATACCTTTAAATAAACACATTTTAAAATTAAAAAGCAGACTTCTATTTTCATCTGTATGTGCCATGTGACTTTTCTGAGCACATGCGATTCAGGATTTTTGTGATTTATTTTTAGAGGAGAACACTAAAGAATGGTACAACCACGGCTTGCTACTTTGGAACAATTCACACTGACTCATCCCTGATCCTTGCGGAAATTACAGGTGAGCAGCTGAAAGCAGGATTTATGGGCACATCAGGCAAAGACAACCAGACTATGCCTGGCAATAGTTCCTACCCAGTAGGAAGCCATGCCTTTGGGTCTAGAATTTAAGCATTTGCACTTTGTACTTTTGCAAGTAACTAAGTGTCCCTGGGAATATCCTAAGTGGGCTTTTATTGCTTAAAGGATTTAATCATTTCTGTGTGGATTCTGGTCCCAGGATATGATGTTTATAGAGTTGAATTTTATATATTGATTTGTTTTTTTAAGAGCACCTTTATCAGTTTATCAGTGTATCTGTGGCAACAGTTTATTGCATTATAATTAACAGATAGATCTGGGTGGTTAGCTAGAGACTCGGGGCATTGCACCAACACAGTGTTAGTTTAGTAACACCTGTGATTCTGTTGCTAGGTACCAAGCAATATACAAAACACCCCACTCTAAATAGCCTTCTGATATCTATTGATGCCCTCATAGCACAGACAGATTAACTAAAGCTCAGAGATATCCACATGTCTAAGACCTCAGAACTGGGAAACAAAATGGAGACTGGATTTAGCGTGATGATTCCACACATACCCAGCACAGTGCCTAACACACACACACACACACACACACACACACACACACACACAGAGAGAGAGAGAGAGAGAGAGAGAGAGAGAGATTGTAAAACAGCCCCACCTGCACAGTTGAACTGAGTGAGGGTTCCTGCAGCACCTCTGCTGAAGGTCCTCCATTGCCAGCAGCTGATAGGCATTCAGCCAATGATAAAGATACCGATGCTGCTACAGTCAGGAAGAGCAATGACACGTCATCTGAGCACTGTGAGCCTCCTTCTTTGTGTATTTCTTACAATCCTACACAGAGCAGAGGACTCTGGGACACTGGAGTCTAGATCTCAGATGATAGCTGCCATTTTGGAGTAATCCCAGGGGGAAAAGGAATCAAATCCAAGTCGACCACCCACCATGCATATTCTTAACATTTCATATGCTACCCTTTATCCACAAAGGGTCATGACATGCATGGAGAGGATCTAGATCCCGGATGGCAGGAGAGCAACAGATGGGAGAGGAATGAGTGGGGGGGAAAGAGAAAAATTGGTATATTGAGGATATGAATATATTTTCTAGGATCTGAGGTATTCTCCTCTTGTATCATGAGAGAAAATGAGTGCCAAGATAGTTGTGACATTGGTAGAAATGTAGACAAAGTGTATAATCAAAAGGAAAAGGTAAATAAGAATTATAAGATATCCAGTTATTTTCTGACAGGTTTGGAGTGGGCTTGTGGCTGGGTGGAAGCCATTTACTATTCTTTGAATTTAGTGGTTTTGTGGCTGTCACAGTGTGAAGACAGAGAGATGATTCTTTACAGTCTCATTTTTTTAAAGGATAATTTTAATCTGAAAGTGTTTTTAGACTCCACAGAAAAAGTATGTGTTAAAAAAGAAACACATCTTCAGATTCTTTCTCTGTGTGCCTCACAGATAAATTTGGACAGAGAGCATTTGTGGGCAAAGTGTGCATGGACTTGAATGACACCGTTCCCGAATACAAGGAAACCACCGAGGAGTCGGTCAAGGAGACAGAGAGGTAATGTGGCTGGAGCTTTCATCTGTGGGGATGAGTCATCTGCTACTCTGATGGCATTTGAAACAGAGAGGAAAGCTGACACCATTAAGACCCAGTTGGGATATGAGCGTGGTGACAGACTGTTCTGATTGTTACAGTATGCAGTTAGTCCAAATACTCAAACTTGTGACAGTGGTCAGTTGGTGACTCACAGAGCTTTCCTGTGTAGACCATTCTTGACTCTCATAGAAAGTTCCCCAAGGTGTCTTTTTTTATGATAAGAAAACTGAGCCTGACATTGCCTGGGGGACTTGCCCATAGCCATTGGAGTAGTCCATTTACCATTACTCTGATATAACATCAGAGATAATCAACTTAAAGAGAGAAAAGGTGTCTTTGGGGTTATTGTTATAGAGGTTCCAGTAAATGATCTGGTGGCCACATGACTTTGATGAGGCAGGAGTGAATATAGGATACACTGCTCACCTCATGAGCCAGGAAGGACAATCAGAGAGAGAAAACTGGCCAGAATTCTAAATGCCTCTCTGGGAATATGCCCTGAGATCTTCTAGCAGGCTCCATCCACTTCCTAAGATATCCCACTCCCCATTAACACAAACCTGGACACCAAGCTTTGACACGGGGACCTTTGTGGGACACTCATCCAAACCATTTTATTAGTGTAGATTAATGTGTCAGAGCCAGGGTTTAATAGGGTGAAAAATCTCTGACTTAAAATGTAGGCTTCCTGATAGCATGACATGGTCCTCACTCATGCCATACTTAGTGTGAGAGGCAGGAGGCATGTACAAGCAGTTCTTATTCATGCACATGATCAAGAATAATGGTGTGAGGGATCACTAGCAGAAAATATATGAGAGGTTATGGAAAATTTTCCATTTATAGATGAGTGAAAGACATTTCAGTATAAATGATTCAGGCATAGTGGTACACACCTGCAATCCAAGTATGTGGGAGACAGAGAAGGAAGGATGGTGAGTTCTAAGCCAGCCTTAGCCACATAGTAAGACACTCTTTAAAAAACTGAAACAAAAGTATTTTTTTTAAAAAAATAACAAAAAATTTATGCTTCCCTGGCATAAAGCATAGAGAAGCACAAAGAGGTACAAAACAGAGACATTTTCTTTAGCTAAGCCATCCAAAGACACCAATGTGAGATTTTACCCTATATTGTTTCGGTTGGATTTAAAAAAATGTTTTATTGATTCTTTGTGGTTTTTACATCATGCACCCAGATCCCACTCATCTCCCCATCCTATCACCTCCACCCTCTGTCCTTATAACCTTCCCCCCAAAACAAAACAAAATTTAAACTACAGCCCAGAAACAAAACAAAACAGAAAATTTTGGCATGGAAGCTGTAGTATGGCCCAGTGAGTCACACAGTGTACCCCTTAGCCATACAAATTTACTTCTAAGTGTGCTTTACATTGGGTCAATGTGTTGTAACCACCTAGCACTAACTATCCTTTTATCTTGCCATAGAAAGAGAAAAAAGATCTTCATGCATTCTGGAATCACCACAACATATTTCAAATACAGAACTAGAATATCTCCTCTCCAGAACTGTTACATGAGGAAGTGACACACAGACACAGCAGGAAAGCTGTGTTCCTTATATGCCCTCAGTCCACATTTGTGGACTTGTGGGAAATTAACCCTTTACAATAAAAGGTCTACACACTTTCAACAGTGACACACAGGCAAGAGAGACACTGAATGGTAGAGACTAAGGCCTGCTCGAGAGCCACTAGGTATAGAGTGAGTTCACCAGAGGATGTGAATAGCCTATTTTGGGGTGATCTGTACCTCAAAGGATAGAGAACCGTGTGCAGACAGAAATGTCAAAACATGGCATGGACAGAGACAACACAACAGGTCCACATGAAGTTTCTAATGTGACTGGTCCTCAAGCCACAACTCACAGATGCCAAATACACAGCAGGCACCCTGGGCACACCTATGTCAGTCTCAGGACAGGACTCCAAGAAATCTGCTTGCAAGTGTAGGGATACTCAATGCTATTCTCCAAGTTCAGTATAGTAGGCCTATCAATGACTCACAGAAAGGCAGCAGGGGAGAATAGAAGCCTAGGATCCCAGGCAGGCTAGTTTGCAAGGCTCAGCAGAGCTGCCAGGGCTGAGTGGAGTCTCATCTAATCACGCCCTACATTGCACCACAGTGGGGAACGCTGCAAACACACCCCAGCTGAGGTTTTATTCCAGGTGGACACTTAGCTCACTGAATTAAAGAATTGCAGGATAGGGCTAGAGAGATGGCTCAGGCATGCAGGGTTTGGTTTTGGTTCCCTGTACACCCATGGCTGTGCCCATATCTGTAACTCCAGTCCCAGGGAATCCAACGCTTTCTGATCTCCACAGGCACCACATACAGAAGGCATATACACACATGGAATAAAACTAACAAAAGAACTGCAAGGTCTCCTGTTCAGAGAGGAACCATGATGAGCCCAGCTTAAGTGTCCAGTCCCTCTGGTCTCCAGGTGTCAGAGTTGCAAGAAAGAGACACAGGGCAATGTCACCGAGGCTATCAAAGGACATCCCACACCTGACATGTCAACTGAATGGTGTGTGGATGCAGGAAATGTGGTATACAAAATGCATCAGCTATGGGCAAAAACAAAGTGCTAACAACATGATGAACTTTAAAATTACTGTTCTAAGAAAAACAGACTGAACACAAACGGGAACACATTGTAAACTTTCATTTATATTGAGTATTATAGAAACTGCAAGTCCACGAGACAAAGTGAGAGGTTTGCCATGCTGAGGAGGAGGGTGACACTGCCTATCTCCTTCCTATAAACCCAGGGGATCTTACTCTGGTGATGGGAATTCAAAGACTGTATTATTTCGGTAATTTCACAACCCAGTAAATTGGCTACAATTATTGAATAGAGCACTTAAAATGGGTAAACTTTATGATATGTAAATTATCCTTCACCAAAAACTCTTTTGAAAAATGGATATATGTTCCAGTGCACAATCTCTTTAAGAGTCAGGTAGGAAAGGTTAGATTTTTTTAAGTGCATAATTTTGAAGGGTTGCTTTTAAATTCACAGGAAAGTGATTCTTGACAAAGACATTAAGAGGATATAGTAGAGCAGATTCCAGATTCCCAGACTATGTGACTCTTGCATACCTCAGTGTTTCTTTCAGCCCTTCTAGCACCATTTTTGCCTCTACACAGCTGAAGCAATTCTCTTAAAGTCCAAGAATCTCAGGATGTATTGGCACATTGTAGAGTCTCCTTAGGATATAGAATTAAAGTTGAAAAACAGATTAAGCCCCTCTTCTAATCTGCCAAGGTCACTAAGTGGATTTAGCCCATTTTGTAAAATTGGTATGTTCCTTTAAAAATGTATATTTGCATGTTTTCGAGTGTGTGTGTGCGCGCGCGTGCGTGCGTGCGTGCGTGTGTGTGTGTGTGTGTGTGTGTGTGTGTACTAGGATCATGTACTAGTTCACACATATAGAGGCCAGAGGAGGATGTTGCCTGTCCTGCTCTGCCACTTTGCACCTATTCCCTTGAGACAGGGTCTCTCACTGAACTGCAAGTTTTTAGCTCAGTTGAAACTCCCAGCATGCCCCTGGCTCTGACCCCAACACTGGAGTTAGAGGCATAGAGAGTTTTCTTTTTCTTTCTTTTTTTTTTTTTAAATCGGTACTGGGAAATCAGGTTCAGGTCTTTGCGCTTGCATAGCAAGTGCTCCTGCCCGCTGCAGTATCTCCCCAGGCCCAGGCATGAAGGATTCTTTATTTTAAAAATTTACCCTTAGTATCCCATATTAGGATAGGGTTTCTCCAGGAGATTGGGTTTGTTAAGTATGATGCCATGCTCATTAAATTACTTTTACAATATTAATTGCACAAAATAGTAGCTTCCATTGTGGCATTTTTATATGTGCATGTGAAATACTCGGATCATATCTCCAGCTCCTCAGTAGCTTTTGATTATGGTCATTTCATGAGTTTTCATTATGTTCAGGTGCATATAACATTGGTGGAATTTATTGATCATTGAAGTACTTTTCTTACATGATCTTTAATGGCTTTCCCAAGGTATCTTGAATATTTAAGAAGGTGTTTCACTGTATTATATTTCACATCAAGAGATACACAGAAGAAATTTCTTTAGATTTGTTCTTTTGGGGCATAAGTTTGGATCTCGGCTTTGCTTCTATTTTCTGGGATTTTCTCACTTCAAGTATGTTTCCTCTGAAGTGCTGAGGTGAGAGGCTGCTGCATGGTCACAGGAAGAGGGTTACACCTCTGATCTTCAGCACTGGCCATTATAATCAGCTCATGCACAAGTCACTACTGTGGTCACTCTAATTCACAATTTGTTTCCCTGGGGCTGAAGATAGAGCCCAGGGCTTTGTTCATGCCTGGCAAGTATCTATCACAGAGCTACATTCCCAGGCTCTCGATTCACACTTTAGTCTGAAAGAGTACCAGAAGGAAGAAAACCAATAACTAACAAGTCTTTACCAGCCAGGGCAGGAATAACCATTTTGTAGGACGCTTGCCACTGTTCGAGTAGGCGTAAGTGCTAGGTTCACCACTTGTCCCATTCCACACACACTTCCTAGCCACCTCTGTCATAGTATTCCACCTTCCTCCAATACCTACTTCCCACCAGACTTTGTCCTCAGAGACTGATGGTGATACTGTGGGCATGATTGGCTTCCACATAAGAGGGGACTAGAACAAGTGTCTAAGGCTCCTAAGTGCTTGTGTGTGTCCTAGTGTTCATGGTCCTATCATCCACAGAACACAGTGCACTGTAACTCAATTACACATAATTGGAGCTGCTAGCACAGGATGTGTGGATGCTCAGAAAGGACCACAAGATGCCACAGGACAATATTGCCTGTGATTTTCCTCTTCCTCTTTTGCTATCAAAGGAAAAGTGGAGTAATTATTGCTTGTTAATCTCTGATTAGTGGTAGTGAAACCCACACTGTTAGGTATGTTTTCATGGAAATCAGGGCGTTGTAAGGATCTCATTTTCACCCCGTTGAAACATTTGTTTGAAAATGATTGACTTTGCTAACTTTCCGTTTGTCACTTCATTGCAGATTCGTGTCAGAAATGCTTCAGAGGAACGTAAGTGAATTTGTTCAGTTTTCACCCAGAGTGCCGCTTTGTTAGCTGTAGCATCTGACAAGTTGTTTCATGCCTTAGTCTGTGTACCTATGGCTTAGTCTATACTTAAGAGGTATTTTCCTAGAGCCTTCAATTGTTGACACAGTGTACCCAGGGGCTCGGCTCAGGGAGGTCAGATTTTTTAAAATTGAAAACATCTGACAAAGACTGTGAGTCCTGAGGTGTGGAGTGTGATAGCTTCTTGCACATATGCAGTGTCGGATGATGGTCCAGTGAGATCCATTCACATATGCAATGACAGGACTGCACAAAAGCCTTAGGTATCTTTTCATTTTATAACTGAGAACGTGTGCCCTTTGATCAATATCGCCTCATATGATCCAGAGATCCCATTTCTGAGTATCTATCCAAGGAAATAAAATGGGCTATATTGGAGAGATACTACATTTACTGCAGCTTTATTCACTATAGTCTCAAATATGGAAAGAACCTAGAAGTCTATGGATGAATAGGTAAAGAAAACCAATTTTATTCATTTTTACATTAAACATGTATACAGGAGAATTATACATACATGTTTGTATATACATATATGTATACAAGTGGGGGTATATATATATATATATATTTATAACATGTTTGTATATACATATATGTATACAAGTGGGGGTATATATATATATGTATTTATATATATATATATATAACCTAAATATGTCTCCTATATCCCATGAGTATGTATATATACACATATGCATTTATAGTGGGATACTATTCATTCATAAAAAGATCTTGCTATTTGAGACAGCATAGATGAATCTGCAATATATTATGTTAAATTAAATGAATTCAGAAGAGAAATACTGCATGCTCTCATTTGTATGTGCAATCTGAAAAGGTCAAATTCATAGAAACTTCTGGCTTTTGCTTTCCAGTTGAAGGCTCATAGGACACTATATTTAGACCTTTTTTAAAAGTAGTTTTATAGTCAGGAACAATGATCTGATTTTGGTGGATTTGATTATTCACTATTAAAATTTGATTATTCACTTTATGTCTACTGAATTTGTTTATGGCTCCAGGGATATTGTGTGTACCCTTTTGTTTTTGGTTCCTGTACCCCTTGTCTGTATGTAGCACAGATCCCAAGTTTAGTCAGGTATGTGAATTCCATCCCAAGTTCACTAAGCTTGTGGTTAGTTTAAGGTGTGTTGCTCAGCTGTCTGTCACAGTAACAAAATACTAAGAAAGGAAGGGTTGCTTTGACTCACAGTTTCAGACAGTTTTAGTCTATGATCACTTGGTCTGGTGGCTTTTAGGCCTATGGTTGTTAGGTAGAGCATGATGGCAGAAATCCCAGTCAGAGGGAAGCAGCCTACCTCATGGCTGCCAGGAAGCCACAGACTACTTTCTTCCAGTTGTCTCTACCTTCCAAAGGTTCTGTCACCTCCTAATAGCACTATTAGGCAAGAACCTTTACCCAACATGAGTTTGGGGAGAATTTAAAATACAAACGGTCATTTAAGGTGTGACAATCCAGTCATCGTCCTCAAAAGTCACCTTCTGAACTCACCTCACCCATTCTTATGTCATTTCTTCTCCTTGGTCTGGGGCCTTTTAATTTTGTGACATTGGTCTCTGCAGAGGGTGAATTGCTCTGTGATCCGAAGAGGTGGGTGGCATGTGGACATTGAGGACCTACTTGCTGCCTTCTTTTTTGGTTCTGTCCACTGCTTGTGTGGATCGAGAAGCAGGCTATATACTCAGACTCAGTGCCCTGGCTACAGGGTGCCTTGCTCTGTAAACGTGTGGCACGTGAGGCCCATACATAGCCAGCCAGGCATCTGCTTTGCCCTGGCATTCTGGGGTTCATGAAGACATTGCTATTTATTGCCTCCAAGCACATCGTGAAACTGGTTTATGGCTCCAGGGGACAGGCTCACAAGTTGGTCAGCCTAGCCCTTGCTTCCCTTATGACTCTTCGCTGTCACACTGGAAGCCATAGGAATGTTCAGAATTTATTGCAGTTCACCCCTGGTGAGTTATAGATAATGCTTATAGACCCTCTTCCTTACTCCCTCTAGGGGTCATTATATCCTGCCAGCCAATCTCTGATGTATTACCAAAGAGCTCTGAGTGAGGATGCAGCCTGCACACCTCCTCAAGATGTAGGCAGGGAAACCAGCCACCACTTCCCATGTAGTGTCCCCACCCCAGGTCTCATCTGAGGTAATGAGAAGGGAATGCCTGTTTCAGAGATAGAACTTTCCTCTGGGAAGTTGGCGCTGAAGAAAGTACTGTTCTCAGTCATGAGTTGTCTTTTGGAACCTAGAACCTCTGTCTACTCAAAATTGGAGATGTTCCTCAATATTGAAACTGTAAAATCACATTGTTGTGGAATGTGCTTTGTGCTCATAATCTCCATATTTTCCTCATGAATTTCTTTTATTATTTCCAGTACTCAAGGGTGAAACCCATAGTGACCCCACGCTTTTCCCTTTCTTGCACCGAGACCCTGATGAGTAAACTTGGCAACATTGCTAAGACCCATGACTTGCACATTCAGGTAGGCACTTTTCTTTGGTTTGTGCTTCTGTCTATGCCTGAAAGATCTCTTAGTATCCCCAGGTCATCTCTAATAATCTGTAGTTCATCTACTGAGATCTCCTAGAGTCAAAGAATTTCAGGACAGGAGGCGCCCTGACTAACGTCACCAGGAAGCACCGACTGAAGCCACCTAACCCAGTCTGTCAGTTTTGCAGGTCAGGTGCCTGAAGCTTTTTTCATCCTCCATATTCTCTGATCTGTCTTAGACAGTCCAAGACAGCTTTAGAAAGAATAGCAAGGTCAATGTCATACTACCCATTCCTGATAAAACACATTTCCTTAGTGCTTTTATTTGATGCTTTCCTGGTGTTCTAGACCTTCATTTGTGGAGGAACCAATTATTATTTGAAAAGTAAAAAGAACTTAATTTCTACCTTACAAACGTGCATTTAAAATCCTTTTGTTCTGAGTTTCTTAATTTAAAACCAGGAACAAAAAGTATATCTTCCTTTATCATTAAGTTGTTGCAATTTAGCAATAAAATGCTTTTAAAATCTCACAGCTGGGTTAAAATTAGGAGCCCCCCTCCCCCACTCAAGCTTAATTACACACTGCACTAAAATTTCCCCTCTTTCAGAGCTGATGGTCTTAAAGGGAAGGGAAAGTTGGGGTAAAGGCAGCATATTGATTCCTTACTTTTATTTATTTATTTATTTTTAAAATGTATGTTCATAGGACCTATTAGCGTGTCTTCCTCGTGATTATTGTTTGTGGCTTCTGATATTTGGAATTTGGATTCAGTCCCCCACAATTATGCTCTGGTAATAAAATTCCAAATTTGGATAATATTTCCACTTTGGAAACAGTATGTTTTATTCTAAAAGAAGAAGAATCAGAAGAAGAAGAAGAAGAAGAAGAAGAAGAAGAAGAAGAAGAAGAAGAAGAAGAAGAAGAAGAAGAAGAAAAGAGAGAGAAAGAAAGATGCAGACAACATAAAAAACCTACATGAAAATAAATTGAATAAGACATGAAGAAGTCTCTCCTTCGTCTGGGGATGCAGTGCAGTTGACAAAGTGCTTGCCTGGCATGCACAAAACCCTGAGGCTGATCCCAGGCATAGCCTGGGTACTGGGGACACAGCAGTCAGAAGGAAGAATCAGAAGTGCAAGGTTATCCCTTGTTAGCAATCTAGTTCACAGACATTTTGGCAAACAGGAGACCAGCTCTGATTAGAGGGATGGAAGATAGGCATTTAATTTTACTATCCAATCAATCACCAGGTTGTTCTTCCTCTTGGGCTACATCCATGCATCTCACTGATAGACTGGGATTTACTCCCCGACCATGGGTAGAGTCCGATGTAGGTGCAGCACTGGTTGGGATCATTACTCACTTTTTCTTTTGTTCATCTTTCTATGTTTCTTCTTAGCACAGAAAAAGAGGCCTGGCAGAATTGGTTAGCTAGTGTTTGTTGACTCATGAATTGTTCCCATTATCTACTTTCATCACCCCTGAAATGTTTTTTTCTAGAGGCTTGGGTGGCTACTCCAGTGCAAGGTACTTTTTGTCCCCTCAGATTTCAGGTGCCCCCATGAAAGGTTGGTGTGGCTGTCTACTCACTTGGTTTGTGTGTGGATTCCCATGAGTGCCTGGTGAAGGCTCTGTCATTTTCATATTCTTTTCTGCAAAAGCATCATTCAGAAAGCCGAGAAAAGAGGCAGACTGAGGACAGACCCTGAGCCCAGCCTTCCATCTGCTTCCAGTATACTAGGTTCTGTAAAATTTCACACCTGAAATATGACTAACACATCTGCATAAGAGATGGAAAATGACTTACCTAAGCCAACACTTTTATTGGCTGATGAGAAATGGAAGCTTAGGAAGAGAACTGGCTTGCTCTATTAGGCTCTCTGTTCAAATTTTAGTTTTTTTTTTTTTTTTTTTTCCTGAGTGAACCATAGATTCATCTTCCAATGGCCATTGAATTCTTATAGGATGCTGCAAGCAAGGCACTGGGCACTCTTTAAAAGAGGGCATAGGTTGTTCCTGCTATAGATAAAGGTCTTGAGGGAAAGACCCCCCCCACACACACACACACATACACACACAGAGCCATGCTCAGGATATCCAGTTTCTTTGTCATGTGTATTATCATAGAGGATGCATTATAATTACTGAAAATTAAACCTGAGCAAGTAGAGACTTCAATGTTTTCCTCCAAGTCGCCTACATCAGCAAGTTCAGCAAGTAGAAACTAGCAGCAGCATATTGAGATAGGAGATAGAATGTCAAATATTTTACAGAAAAAGTGAAACCATTCTTTCTTTGTTTGCAGAGCCATGTAAGTGAAAATCGTGAAGAAGTTGAAGCTGTGAAAAGCTTATTCCCTGATTACAAAAACTACACAGATGTCTATGATAAAAATAATCTCCTGACAAACAAGGTAAGCTCAGTATCATGATATAATCTATATAAAGCAGGCTGCATCCTTTAAGTTTCAAAATCTCAGAAGTAATCACAGTTCTTCAGGACACATGCACTTTTCAAACTAGAATAAACCCAGTGTGTGTGTGTGTGTGTGTGTGTGTGTGTGTGTGTGTATGTGTAGATATATGTGTGTGTCTGTGTGTGTGTGTGTGTGTGTGTGTTTGCATGCATATGTGTATAGATATATGTGTGTATATCTACATGTGTGTGTGCTTGTGTGCATGTGTATGTAGATATGTGTGTGTCAATATGTGTGTGCCATGATATGTGTGTATCCATCTATCTGTGTGTGTGTGTGTGTGTGTGTGTGTGTGTGTGTGTGTGTGTTAATATGGGCCTGATGTTTCATCCCTATTCTTAAATCTAACTTTTTCATTGTATGGTAAGAATCATCTTTTTTTCCAATGATGCTTTCATAGTTAGTAGGTCAGTGGGCTTTTCTTCGAGCCGGCAGATCCATTTCCAAGGATAATTCTTTAAAGAGTGTACAAATAGATGCATTGATAACACAGGAAAGTTTGAAAATAACTATCCCCAAGGAATTGGTTAAATCATAGAATTCACATTATTAGAATTCTATCCAGCATTCACAGAGCAAAATGTGCATGCTTCCACAGAAGAATGCTCAAAACAGTTGGATATGCATGTACATATGTCTTGGTGTGTTTTTACACATAAAAAACGTTCAGAGATATACAGTGAATGTTAAAAGTAAGATTTTAAACTCTGAGGTTTAGAAAAATGCATATGTATTACTTCTATAATTAATTAAAATTATTGTGAGTAGCAAGAGACCTCATTAAAGCAGTATACCCTTTGGCCTTGGCCTTCCATGAAATGAACACACTGCTTTGAGAGTTTACTGCAACAAGCAATTTCTTAGTGACTACACAAAAGGAGATATGAATGTAAGTGATTTGAAAGGTTAGTACTTTGCATAAATAATGTAAATTTACATGAGAAGCTTTATCTTCCTTTACATATATTACCATATGATTAATAAATTAACCTTAAATTTTCGTGTTAATTATATTTGCATGGAGGTTGAAAAAGTTCTATTTTAATAATAGTTTTTGCCTATTGAATTATGCCTCCCAAAGGAGAAAGCAACTGGGTATCAGTTTTATATTAAAGTAAAAAGAAACTTTTTAGAGAATTAAATGTTCCTTGAAAACCCACAAATCTTACCAACATGAGAATTTAGAGAGGTTTCAAATGTGTGGCACCTGCTTTCATAAATAAAGTTTGCCTCCTTATGGAAAAGTTATTATGATATGACATATCCTGATTTTATGTCCATGTCAAGATCCATTGGTGACTATAATGAAACTAGTAACAGAAATAAAGGACAATTCTCTCAGATGTGGTGGCTTATGCCAAAAAAAAAAAAAATACCAGCATTCCAGAGGCTGAGGCAGGAAAATTATGAGTGTGAGATCAGTTTGGGCTGAGTTCAAGGCCAGCTTTAGCTATATAGATAGATATCATTTCTAAAACAAACCATCCGTAACAATTAACCCATAGTTCTTTACAAAATCATATTTGCACCTTCTACGTTCTCTTAGAAAGTCCTGATTGGAATGCAGACAAGTATCAGCCTACTGGAAGTGCATCATACAGATTTAGAAAAGAGGATATTTGAAAATTTTCTGTAGTAGAGATGATAAAATCGTAATAAGGTATTCAGTCTGGTTGGATTTCCTATGCTGCGGATGAGCTGGCTGACCCTGTACTGAATTGCAAATCAGCCAAAATAATCAAAATCAAGAGCCAGGGCTAGGATGGAGTTCAGTGGTAGAATACTGGGCTTGATTACCAACACTACTAAGATAGATAAACAGACAGACAGATAAAACATACAAATTTGTTGAGAATTTTGTGATGTACATTTGGATACAGGAATTTTGTCCTTTCAAATAATAGCAACTGCTTTGCAAAGACCATTGTAGCCAAGCCATTGCTTCTGTATCTCCTTGTAGTACATAGCCATGGGTATTATTAGTACAAGCAGTTTTTAGTGGTAAACTCCATGCTGGTCATTCTTCTCTTTAGACAGTCATGGCACATGGCTGCTACCTTTCTGAAGAAGAGCTCAACATCTTCAGCGAACGAGGAGCGTCCATTGCACATTGTCCCAACTCTAACTTATCGTAAGTAGACAATAATTGCTTGGCAGGTTATTGATGTGTAGTGTGGATAGGCATTTTCTGTTTTCTCCGTTGTTTCTTCTCCTAGGATCTGTTTCTATAGTTGGTTTGAATAGGGAAGGAACCCGGTAGATGGATGCTCACCTGTGCTAAGGTGAAGAAAGAAGACATTTGAAAGGGGGCATTGTTGCAGGGCATACATTTAAAGATTTCCACATGCACCAGGGGGAAATAGAACAGAGTTTAAAATCAATAGCATTCAGGTTTTACAGCTGAGAACAGACTGAAAAAAAATGCATGTCCCAGGGAGACAGTCTGCTCTAGAGTTTAGAAGGGAGTTGCGGCTCAATTGCACTTGGACATGCTGCTGAATGTATTGAGACACAGCTCATATAGGAGAACCTTGGAGGGACTTCATCCTATTTAATTCCCAAATACAAAAGCTTTATTTGAAACATGTCCTCTTTTTTGTTGTTATTGTTGTTGTTGTCATTTTGTTCTTCTTGTTGTTTTTCAAGACAAGGTTTCTCTGTGTAATAGCTCTGGTTGTCCCGGAACTCACTCTTGTAGACCAGGCTGGCCTTGGACTCACAAAGATACACCTGTAAAGGTGTGTGTCACTACCTGGTGTCCTTACCTTTCTTAAAGGTTATAAATTCATGAATGAGTCAGTTGAAAGTTATGGCTTGCATCTTCAGTGAAACAAAAAGGCCCATAGACATAAAAATGTTGTGTCTAAGTTTAGGGAAGTTGTGGATAAGGAGATCTAGTCCATAGATGCTGGGTTAGAAATTCAGAGTTGTAGAAAATAGTGTATTTGGGTGGGGGTTGATCTTAGAGAGTGCTGCTAGGGAGTCCAGCACACAGGGAAGAAGTCAATAACATCAAACCAGTTAATCACAGTTGGATCCTGGAGTTGTCCATCTCAAGAAGTGATGGCACAGGGACAGTAACACTGAACAGTGACAGAAGGCCTGGGTGACTGTGGAGGAGCACCTCTTCTGACCCCCCAACAAGAACAGAGCAGCCTCTAGAAGTGGGTAGAACATCTCAGCAAAGAGATGAAGGTATTAGCAAGCTTACGAACTTTGTGAAGGACACAGATGTGTGTCCATGACAATGTCAGAAGGGCTCCTAGAGATACAGGACATTTTTCTAGCCGTTTTAAAGGTCTCAGAAGACCCTGCATTTTCAAATGGGAAGTAAATGTACAAACATTGGTGACTTTCATTATAGCTGAGGGACAAGAATTTAACATCCCCTGGATGAACAGTAAAATATCCTCTAAATTAAAACACGATCGGGCTTTTCAAATAAATGCTGATCTTCAAGAGTTTTCCTTGTGCACACTGGGGCTTTGGAAGTTATAGTTTAGTGCACTTTTTTGAGCATAGCCATTTGGCCACTGTATCCTCTTGGGCTTCTAATTACATGCTTTAGCTTTCCTTTGATCAAATGGGATGAAGATGACAAGGTTCAAAGTTCAGGCCAGGAACTCTCTCTACTAGTTGCTATCCCAGGAAGCAGCATTTGAACTATCAGGCCCCCATTTCAATGGCTTCCATCCTCTTTAGTTGTATCATTATTGATCCTGTAAACACAGGGGAAGAAAAACATGATGGAAGATTACCTTTCCTTATCTGTCATAAAGTCATCACCAACCTTCTACAATAAGACACATCAATGAAAGAAAAGCACAGCCAATGTGCTTACTCAGAGTTTATGTGACCAGATCATTAAATGAAGACCAATGGGCACAGACAGCTCTCCTCTATTTTTATGCTTTGCTGTGATGGAGCATGGCAACCACACAGAAGTGTAATTAGACAAAGAGGTTTTAATCTAATGCCAAGTTATCAAGTTGGGATACTGGAGAGAGGGCATCTTCAGATCTTCTTGGTCCCTGTGTCATATTGTTTTCCTTCTGTGAATGGGGCAGGACCTCTTCCAAAATAGAATCATATGACTGTCTATCAAACAAAGTATGTCTGAGAACTCCTTCCTGGCCAGCATGAGACACAAGGAAGGAGGATTAGAACAATCTCCTTAGGGTTTGTGGCTTGCATAGGGAAAAAGGATGGAAACTTTAGTTGTTTTGTTGTTGTTGGAGATGAACCTGGGGCCCTATATATTCTTAAATAAGCACTCTACCACTGAGTTAGACCATAGCCCTGAGAAATTCTGGCTTGTGTGGTTTGGAGACTTGGGGGAGGAGGTCAGTGAGATTTTTTAGGCTGCTTCTGAGGCCCAAAGCATCATACACTGGGCTATTATTTTTGTTCCCTAATACAAATTACTTCTTTGGGTAATACATTGTTCTGGATATATCAGAGTGAGATGCATTGTAATTTATGTTTTCTATTATAGTAGGAGGAGTTGGCTAGGTAGGAAGTGTATAGCTTTATTAGATTTACAGATGAACTACAAAGTGTAATTCTTCGGTGTTTTCCATGTAGTCCTTTGCTGCTTTGCACCTCCTCGAAGAAGTGACCTCATGCCAGGAAGCAAGAAACAGATTTTTATGATCTTCTCTACTCCACCACTTTCTTGGCCTGAGCAAGAAACAGATTTTTATGATCTTCTCTACTCCACCACTTTCTTGGCCATGACAATGTCAGAAGGGCTCCTAGAGATACAGGACATTTTTCTGTCTGACTGACTGTTGACCTTAGGGCTAATAAAGATGAGGATCCATTTCTTTTTTTTTTTTTTTAATGTGACTGCCATCTTTGACAGTGTCCATATATTGTTAAATCACCAGATCGCCTTGTTCTTGCATCTTCTTTCTCTCCAGGCTGAGCAGTGGCTTACTGAATGTGCTTGAAGTCCTGAAGAATAAAGTGAAGATAGGGCTGGGGACAGGTAAGCAGCCTCCATCTGGAGCTGAACTGATGAATAACTGTTCTGATGTAGCTGAATTGTAGGTATGGGGTCTCTGAGGCATGTGAGCTTTATTGGTTGCTAGGGATGGGTGTCTTAATAATAAACAGCAACCAAATAGAGTTCTGAAGTCTTTATCCCCACCCCCAAAGCCATTTTCCCTGTTCATTGTTTAGAAACTGGGCGCCCATGTCTAGTAGCTCACAGCTGACTGTTCCAGCTCCAGGGTACCTAACACCTTCTGGTTTACACAAGCTCTTGCACTCACATGTGCCAACAGCTCACACACAGACATATGAGACATTAAAAACACAAATTCTTAAGGAAGGAAGGAAATTATTCTTGCTGAAAATTCAGTCAGTGATGTAGAGAATAAAACTGAGAAAGAAAGAACACGTGAATGTCACAGGATGGTGTGGAGGCCAGACACTGAGCAAAGAGCATGAGGGAAGGCTGAAAGTGTGGTACTATGACTGACTTCCTGGCTCATGAGAAGCTGGGATATAGTAGGTCATAGTCAGAGCCTGGGAAAGAGCAGTGTTAAGAGAGCTTACACTCTGTGTGCTAAATCATAACCAACCATTGTGATCAGCTATTTTAATTTCAAGAAAAATAAAAATGCTCCAAAAGCTTTGAATCTGGGAATAAAATGTTACCACCAAACAACTAAAAGCCATTTTCTTTCAGATGATTGTTTCATTGGTGATGGTGCAAATAATACCAAAGGCAAAAGAATTATTAATCAAAAATACTATTCATATATCAGGTCATCTCTCATTCATGTGTAAAAGCAACAAACTTCTCAACTATATAAAGACTTGGAAAAAATTCTTCTTTTGACCCCATTGTAAAGAGTTACTTGAAAGTCTCTTTTATTAGTGATGTGTCAAAATGAAGGGTCATTATATAGGGGTGTTTGTACAGCTGGGAAGTGAGAGGAAGCTGGTACCAGCCAAGCACCAAGTTACAGGAAGACAAGGTCGCATGTCTTCCCACATTTGGAAATAAACAAGCAAGGATGGCCTGAGAATAGAAAACAGACGCAAGAAGACAAGGTCACGTATCTTCCCACATTTATCTGGAAACAAACAAATGAATAAACAAAAACCAAGGATGCCCTGAGAGTATAAAACAGACTCTCTGGGTCTGGGAAAGGGATCTTGAGGACAGGGAAGGTGGGGGAAAAAAGGGACAAGGGACACGATCAAAGATTGATAAGATATATGCATGTATAGAATTGCCACAGAGAAATCCATTCATTTGTACAATCAATATATGCCAACAATAATAACAAAAAATCAGTAACCAGAGCAGGTGACACACCTCTGCTCAAATTGAGGTTTGAGCAGTCAGATTGAGAACAGTGACAGCGACAGGGAATCTAGAGCAGTAGATTTGTATCAAGAGTGCTGCTAAAGCTTCTTGAATAAATTATTTTAGAAGTCGTAAAAAGAAATGGTTAACAACGTTAAGAGTAACTCATGGTAAGTCAAAAAGACTTTTCCTTTGGTGGAAACACATGATAATTGTTTTTGAAACTGAACACTAGATTGTTGAGTTTTGATTTGTACTCCTTACGTTGTTTGTATGTTTTTAAATATATTACAAAAATTTTAAGTGATGTATGCTTCATAAGGAATAGATATTTAGGGGAATGGACATAGGTCTTCATCTGGAATTCATTTATGATTCATACATACAGACTGAGGCAATTTTATAGTGTATTTTAAAATTGTCACATGTGTCACATGACAGCAGATGTGAAATTTTCTAGTATGTTGTCACCTGCATTTGGGATTTCAGAATTTTGGATATAGAATGATTATCCTATATAAATAAAACTACCTGAAGAATTATGAAAATGGGACTCCTCCCCTCTGAAATATGAAGAAAAAGGCAAAATAAACATTGAAGAAGACCCAAGAAATAACCTGAAGGGAAAGTTGAAATATATAAAATAAATACATATAGCATGATGTACAAGTTTGTTAAAATGATGTACATGGAGCCACTGTCCCACTTGCCAGGATTGTGCCATCACTCCGTGGGATGGCTAGTTTTTCTTTATTTGGCACAAGCTAGAGTAATCTGGGATAGGGGAACTTCAACTGAGAAATTACATCCATGAGATTGGCCTGTAGAGAAGTCTGTGGGGCATTTTCTTAATTAATGATTGATGTGGGAGGGCTCTGGACACCGTGGGCAGTACATCCTTGGGCAAGTGGTCCAGGGTTGTATAAGAAAGAAAACTGAGCAAGCTGAGGGGAAGAAGCCAGGAGGCAACATTCCTCCATGTTTCTGTGTTAGTTCCTGTCTCCAGGTTCCTGCCCGGTGGTCCTGCCTTGGCTTCCCTTGATAATGGACTGAGACCTGTGAGCCAAATAAGCCCTCTTATCCCAAAGGCGCTTTTGCCACAGTTTTTATTACAGCAATAGAAACCTAACTATAACACTCCCTGAGCAACAGCCTTTGGTCTTCTTGTGGACTTTGGTCTTGTAATGCCTTGTTTTCTCCATCCTTCCTGCCTTCCTAAAGCAGGTCTCTTGGATGCCAACAGATATTGCAGTATCTCGTCTTCATTTTGTATGTGTTCACTTTGAAAAAGCCCAGAACTAGATGACCTCAACAGTTCCCTTTTCTATGCCTGCAGCTGTGTGTTTAGGAGTAGCTGGAGACAACCGTGCATTTCATGTTAAATTTTGTGCTCAAATTCCAAGAAGCCCTCAACACTGGCAGCAGAGATAATTATATTTCTCTACTAAGTATCTGGCTCCTTAATCCAAGATGGGTTTCTATCCCTCTTGATTCTGCTAAAACATTCTATTGCAGCTCAAGCCCTCCATTCCCAGCACATAGCCTCTTCTTGTAGGTCATCACAAGGATGTAAAAATAAATCAGAAATCTTTGTTTCAGTTTCCATCACCAAATTTACATACGCTCTTTCCCATCATTATGTGCTGTCTACTGGACTATCCCTACCAATACACAACCATCTAAACTGTCTCCTGACACTTTTAGGTCATAATATGTAACTGTTCTCTTACCCTGACACCCCCATCAGCTTCCTGTCCCACATTGTGCCTTTCTTCACAGCAAAACTTCTCAGAGTGTGGACATCCACACAGCTCCTGATCTCCCCTGCCCCCCAGTCCTGATTCCTGTCCAGTCAGCAAGGCAGCCATCTTGTTTCTTGATATGACCTGCTGCCATGATCTCTTTGCTGCCTCTCAAAAGATGCCATTCTGTTGTGACTGAATGCCTCTGTGGTCTGCTGTAGTTGACACTTCTCCTGGTCCTAATAGCTTACATGGGAATCAGCAAAATTGCATTAAAATTTTGTTCTTCCTCTGCTGCTGGCCATTCTTTCTTCTCTGAAAGCTTGCTCTCTTCTTCCTGGCTGTTTGGAAAGCTGTCTCCAAAGCTCAATAAGTCAATATTTTTTTGTACTTCAGATTTTCCCCTCTTAAGGGTTTTTGTCATCAACTATGGCTTCATATGCCTATTAGCTTTTATGTGTAGGTCAACTCCACTAACAAAAAGTCCCCAAGAAAAACTTGACAAATCTCATGTTTGAGAGCCTCTGTTGTTAGCAACTTTATGAATTATCAAATTGCTAATATCTGGTGTGGCATGGTACCTTGGTTTAATAGCAAGTTATTTTGTCCATTGACCTTGATATTTTTGTCTCTAAAATGGAGTTGATACTAGCAGATACCTTACATGTTTGTGTGGAGGACTGGTTAAATCAATGTTGTGTTGTTCTTATACTGATTCTTGGTATGATACAACACTAGTTTGTGACAATTGGCTATTTGGCAATGCTTTTTAATTTTATAATTATTTCACTTCTTTTTAATTAACATGAAATAGTTATACACAAAAGGCTTAATGGGTGCTTGTTATTTATTTGTGTGTATCCAAGTGTTTGTGCTTATAGTGTATGTTTGTGTGTGTGTGTGTGTGTGTGTGTGTGTGTGCATTTGTTAACATGTGTATATAGAGACCAGAGGTTAACCTCAGGTATCTTTCCTTAGGTGCTGTGATAGGGTCTTTGAATGGGACCTGAGGCTTGCCAGTTAAGCCGCATGAGCCCTAACTGTGTCTCTGCCTTTCCAATATGCCAACATTCTCAGCTTTTTACATGGGTCTTGTGGATCAAACACAGGCCCTAATGCTTGTGTGACAAACACTTTACTGACTGAGCTGTCTCCCCAGCCCAGATTATTTTCTATTAACACAGACTAATAACTTAAGTAGCTGTGATAAAACTTTTCAGGGAACCAGATGATCCTCTAGCAACACTGTTCTAGATAAAGAAAAGTACTCTACCAAAAAAAAAAAAAACCCAAAACATACAAGTTTATCTAAGGGAATACAAGACAGTTGACCATAAAACTCAGCTGTAATTCAGAATTGCAACTAAATAACCAATTACTTTTGATAATTGTAATATTTATAGGCACTAAATAATCATATAAGCCTACCAGAAATGATGGGGACATTTAAAACTACAATGGATATTTGATTAGTTATAAAATGTATTCTCCAATAAAGCATGCTGCCTTGCTTGACATTATATCAACTTGTTTCATAAAATGCATTTGTTTCTGCCAAAGGCAGTGTTTCAATTCATTATGACTAGGGGCTTAAGCTAAGTCACTAAAACTCTCATTTCTCATTCAGTGATGCCAACCAGTATGGAAAGCTGTCCTTATCAGCCTTAGTTATTTATTGTACTAAGTTTCTAAAACTTAGTACAATGAACTTATGTTCATTCTAAAACTTTCTGAAGAATTATTGTTTTAAAAAATGCCTTTTTAATTTTCTAAACTTTTCATCTAGATTGGAATAACACTCAGACATTTTCTTAAATGTATGCCAATTGTGAGTTTATGTTAAATCACATTATAAACCTATCACAGCCATATTTGAGTAATTTCTGTGAGTGTTCAAGAAATAGAATATATCTCTTTATTAGCCATGAGGATATTATAGTGGGTTGAGTTGTAGTCCCCCAAAGAAATCTACTAGAGCCTGTAACTATGGCCATATTAGGACTAAAGGTTTCTGTAGATAGAATTCAGGTAAAGCTGGCAAGATTAACTCATTCTGAAATGGGGTGGCTCCCAAGTTCAATGATCAATGCTTATAAAGGACAGTAAAGGAAGGCACAAAGACCCAAGAGAAGGCGATGTGAATGTGGACAAGAAACTGGAGTTACTGCCATAAGCCCGGGTCTCCATGAGGCATGAGAAGCTGGAAGGAACAAATCAGGATTCTTCCCGAAGGGTTGGGGTCCTTGCTGACACTTTCAGTGGTGCTAGGGTCTGACACGCTGGCCTTGTACAGTTTCAGCACACACTCTGTCTCTGAGCTATACTCCCCAGTCAGCCCTGCCGACACATGGATTTTAGACATCTGACTGCCAAAACTATGAGAGAAGCCATGTCTATTGTGTTAAGTCACAAGACTTGTGATGTTTTAAGCAATCCTAGAAGCTATTTCTGGAATAGATTAGATTTTAACGAAAGGTGGTTTTTAAAAATCAGCATGCAAAGTAATAGATTTTGTTAGAGCATTTTGATATGTGTATTGTCATTTACTTTGTTCTCATTTGTGCCCCTTGTCATGCTTCCTTCTTGTTTGTCCCTTTCCTTCCTGTAAATAGTGACCACTTCTGCTTTTATTCAAATGACAAAATATGAATTGATTTAAATATTGGCTTATAGTTATGTTTACAGATGAGAAAACTTTTAGAAAATGAAAAATACAATGTCATTAAAACCAGAGGAAGAAAACAACATATACACCTGTTATTCTACCCATCTTCATAAAGCTACTGTGGGGGCTTTGTCTTTCCTACCACAGATGTGGCTGGTGGTTACTCCTATTCCATGCTTGATGCCATCAGAAGAGCAGTGATGGTTTCCAATGTCCTCTTAATTAATAAGGTGAATGAGAAAAGCCTCACCCTCAAAGAAGTCTTCAGACTAGCCACCCTTGGAGGAAGCCAAGGTAATGACTAGTTTCTTCCTCTCTCACGTCATGTACAGCCATGCCAATTTGTGTCTTTTGCACCATAGTGAACTAAGGCAAATCCTATATTAATGACTGATATATGTCATATAACATACCCAAAGCACAGCCATGTAGTAAAACAATGAGCATTGACCTCAGTGACTTCAATGACCTCAATGTCTTTCTCAGAATACAAGCTTTAAAGAGATGTCAATCAAACAGCATCGCTGGCAGCAAAACCCAATATCTTCACATTCTTTAATATGTTATAAGAATGAGACATGTTCTCCCTTGGCATCCAGTGACCACGGACATGAGTTACAGCTGTAAGACAGGAGAAGTCAGTAGACATTATTGGCCTGTGCCCTATTTTAGAAAAGCACTCTTCATGGGCAACCTGAAGTTACAGAGTGACTTCCTTTCAAAATTGCTGCCTCTCTTGAGTGACAGGGTCTCTGGACTTTGTATATATATATATATATATATATATATATATATATATATATATAATCTAAATATACTAAAACTCACACTAAAGAATTCATGATGAAAAAAGAAAGAATTCATGATGAGTATGCCTGTATTAGAAAGTTTGCATAGATTTTTGTGTTAATTTGAGGTTCAGTTCATGCAATGAAAATAAATACCACTAACCATTTCACAGAACAAAAAGGCAAAGCTAGGAGTGTTGGGGAAGAGGAGGAAAGGATGAAGTAGATAGATTTGTGACACGCTTGTTACTTTGAGGGTTCAGTGGAGTACACTGACAGCTGAAACTGAGATGTCATCAGCAGTGGTGATGAATGGAGCTACTTGCTTCCTGCTCCCTACTTTCTATACAGAGGTCATGTGACCTGTTGGAGTGAGAGGACTTCTCTACTTCACTGTTCAGATACTACCTTTGGAGGGTCTAGTTACATGTTGGCTGAGTCTGTCCTTGCAAACAAGGATATCACAATGATTCAGTGGTAATTCTGATTGCTATTCACTTCCATTTGTAGCCCTGGGGCTGGATAGTGAGATTGGAAACTTTGAAGTTGGCAAGGAATTTGATGCCCTCTTGATCAACCCCAAAGCATCAGACTCTCCCATTGATCTGTTTTATGGGGATTTTGTTGGTGATATTTCTGAGGTAAGTAAAAGGAAGTTAAATAAAATGCCTTTTGTCTTTTTTGTTTTTTTTGGGGGGGGCATCTATTTTTAAAACAATCATTATTAAAGTAAGCTATATTCACTTTGTTCATTTGTAAGAAATGCCCTTATGTTTTTAAAAATTATTTTGTTTTATTATTAGAGTAGGTTTCTGAGAAATAGGCTTCATCTCATTCATTTAGTCATTTTTTCCTGTTTTGCAACTTTAGAAATATTTGCATCATTTTTATATTGATTGATTTATTTAATACTCTGCATTTAACAATGTCAAGATTGTTTGTCAAGAATATTCCAGTAATAGGCAGGGCATGGTGGAGCACACCTTTAATCCCAGCACTAAGGAGACAAAGGCAGGAATATCTCCTTGAGTTTGAGGCCAGCCTGGTCTACATATTCCAAGACTATGAGGAGACACCCTGTTTCAAAAGCCAATAAATAAATAATATTCTAGTAAGGATAAACATTTGTTAATAGCTAGTAGACTGTGATTTTTTTTTGTTTGCTTGCTTTTGGCTTAGGTTTCCATTTATTTATTTGTTTTTGGAAAGACCATTTTTATTAAAATGTAAAATGTCATTAAGAAATAAATTTTAATTTCTGGAGTCTGTCAGTAACATTTCCATGTATATTTCATTTTTAAATGTACCAAGTATTATTTCTTAACACTTTTGTTTTCTATTTTAGGCCGTTATCCAGAAGTTCCTCTATCTAGGTATGTAGCTATGTTTCTGGGCTATAAATACAATTTTTTCTTGGTCAAGACTCTCTGTTCTTGGTACATTATGTTAAACTCTATGAATGTTACACTGTGATAATCATTTTTAAACAGTTCTCAGCACTGAGCTTGCACTATGGCACAATGTCTAACAATTCCCCAAGAACACACTTAAGTCCTGAGCTGGGACATAGAGGGGAAGATAGCTCCATGCCAAGCCCTCCTATGTCCCTTCTGTGTCCCTAACCTTTCTATTCTGGGACAGAACTGAATTCATGGTCAGAGTTCTATTCCTGGAGACATAATTGAACCAGGAGAGTCTAAGAGTAGCCTCCCTTCCCATTGTGTGAGTTCAGTGCTGGGTGAATTTGAGCTTTGAGAGGGCACAATCTATAGACTGCTTATCTTAATGTGCTTAACACAGAGATAGGGGTTTATTGATCATTGATTGATTTCCACCTCAGACACATAATGGAGACCCCAATTCACAATGAGCTATGATGTCATCTCTTGATCAAGTCATCCAAGGAGATTATAAATGATTTGGGAGAAATAGAGCTTCCACCTTTTTGCTTGTGTTTCTTCTTTTACAAGTGTTTTGCCTAAAACCTCTTTCAAAGGAAATTAAGGCAGTTATTGACCCAAAAACACAGTACACATGATTCTTTGTTTTTGCTTCCAGGAGATGACCGGAATATTGAGGAGGTTTATGTGGGCGGAAAGCAAGTGGTTCCATTCTCCAGCTCAGTGTAAGACCCTTGGGCATCCATGATGTTCTCCTGGGATGACATGGTTCTGCATCTTCCTTGTGCCCAGGTGCTGGTTAGAAAGTATGTTTTAAAAAGTGCCGTGTTCTTCGGATGACTTCTGTTTCTACGTCTGCTTCCAGTGCTCACTTGGTAAATTGTGCAAAGGAAGTGCACTGTTCCTCCACTTTGGTTGGGAGCAATCATAATTTCATGACAGTGCCTCCTTCGGGGCTGCTTAGATTTGTGTTAAGCTCATACAGAAGGCAGTGTTAACAGCTGGCACTGTGCTTCTAATATAGAAGGAAAAACTTTCTGTGTAGGGAAATACGGTGCAAAGAAATATCCCTATGTGGTTAGACATTCTGAGCTAAGTGAAAAGTTGGAAACTCCGTGTGAACCATTGAGTAGATTTTTATGAGAGGGCACAAGCTAGACTGGGAACAGATGTTGGAAAAATCATTGATTGTGCTTGGAAATTAAATACTGAGAACACTCATGTAAAAAGAGAACTTACTGGGTTTTAAAATGCGCTTCTAGGTTGACCTTATCTATGGAAATTTGCACTTTATGGAATTTGCATTTCAGAGATGTGTTATTGTTATGCTTTGCCTTCTTTAGGGATGAATGTCAGAACCCGAATGCCACATGCTTTTCAAATATAGTTCTGTGCTTCAAAGTGTTTGACAGAAGTTGAGTATTAAAGATTTACAGTCTCTTAGGGATAGTATTCATATAGCCACATGGCATAAATAGTTGTGTTTTTGTGTACTTCAGAGTCACCTTGATTTCTGGCTGTGTGGTGTTACAATTGCTTCTATTTTATTAGATGAGAAACAAGCCCCAGGTACTGCTGCTGTGTAGTCTGGGGTCTTCATAAATTGGGGAAGTACTGTACCCCTGGGAGCCATTAACAGTAACAGGACAGGGTTCTTTGCTCAATGCCCTATCTATTCAACACATTATGTCATCGTGTTTGTGAAGTTCTCCCCCTATCAATGTGCTAGAAATAAAAAGCCAAGTACAAATCCTTTAAGGAACTGTGAATAAGGCTCTGTAAGGCCTGTAGATTGAAAGTACTCTAATTTACCAGATTGTCACTTGAATTCCTTAAGATTTTTCTGGCAGTTTCTATTAGTAGGATTTACTGTGCTAGACATGAAGGAATATTAAACAAAAGAAGGCATTTTATCTTTTCTAACTAACATTATGTACCTTCTTATAACAATTAAAACCAGATTATAACCACATGGCAGATTCTTAGGAAGCAATGATAAGTTCTACTGAAATACTACATTTTTCTTAATTTACTCCACATAAACAATCAAAAATAGGGAACAGGTTTTGTTAACATATCATTTCATTTCCAGAATTTCGGTGAGTTTCTATATGATCTTATAACAGAAAAACCTTAGGCAATAGAGCTAATTCCGTGTTTTCAAGTCTGAAAGCACACAGTTCTTCTGCTGCCCTGTAAATCTCAGTGTCGCGTAGCATGCTAACTTGGCAGTCATTTGTCCAGATCTATTTTCCTGGTTAGAAGCACTTTTAGATTTGGTTGTGTAGACATTACATCTAAAGATGGTACAAATATTTAGTCTTACTTATTTTTATTTTTATTTTTTTTAAAGACAGTTTCTTTTGTGACATAGAAGTGAATAAGCCCAACTTCTGGTCTTAGTCTGAATGTCCAGTGTTTCAAACACACCAGCAACATCAAAATGATCTGCCAAACCCCCTCTCCCATTTCTCTCTGAGGCTGGCAAGTGTTTTTTGCTGTATCTTTTGACTCTTGCCAAAGTAACTTAATTACAGGGCATCTAAGCTGAGTGAAGCAGGCCAAGTGGCTTAGGTGTGTGTTGGGTAAGAGCTCTGCCAGCCAGCAGCCGCTTCCAGCCTTTGCAGACCCCACACTCCTCTTCCTCAAGAGTGTGCATTTTGATATTGAACATCAGCTTTTATTTAAACTTGAGATTCACACACAGTAACATAAATTAGTGTATTCTGGAAGTAGGAATAACAGTTATTTGCCACCATCCTAGCAAGCATCCAGATTAGTCCTGATAGTGTGTTACAAGCTGAATAACTTCTCATTGAAACAATGTATTGAAGTGTTTACATGTACTTTGATCTCCCTGCATCCCTTATAACTTAGGTGTTTTATTTTCCCAAGTGAAGTGTTCCTGAGTGTTACTTATGCTGTTTCAGTACCCCATACATGGGGTCAGATGTCCTGCACTTTGAAATGTTGCCTTTCCCTAATGTAGGCTGACTTTCTGAATTACAGGTAGGCACTATTTCTAGCCCATCCCTGTTGTCACTTTTTATTTTATTTGAATGGTTTGCTCTCTTTAAAAGAAAGGGATAAACAAAGAGATGAAGGAAGGAGGGAAGGAAGGTTAAAACATTATCCTTCCATCCTACTCCATACCATTTTCCTCGTTTCTCTAGAATTTTTGATGAAGTTCTTTGTAAAAAGTTAAAAAGCATTAAAATTATCATGTGTATTATATTTCCAAAATTTCTTGTAACCAAAATAAAAAGTAGGCTAATCAAGAATAATTTGATGGGGGGCATTTAAAATAAGAGATTAGAACCTGAAAAGTTGTTCTAATCTTCCATTGGGCCAAAGAGACTAAACTCCTCTGTTGTGTTATCTTTGCTGGTTCTTTACTTGCACTGTAAAAGACTTTAGAATCCAAGAGCACATCTATATTCATGCCAGAAGTAGGGCTTTCTAAGTTAATTCTGTGAGCATTGAGTCTCTTCTTCAGTGAGACATTTCAAAGTTAAAGGAAAGGACATGGTAGGAAACCCCTTCTTCATTGCTTAGCGGATTTTGAAGTGTGCCCTTGGATGTCCCTGTTGGCAAATGCTCTGAAATTTTACAGAGGAAACATAATGGCTGTGAGATCTAGCAATGTGTTATGGATCTTCACTCCTTAGCAGATTATCCCTATTTTTAAGCCTTTCCACTTCAGAAGCAGACATAGGGGAAGCCTTCAAGGCATCCTGGAGAGCACATTGCATCAGGCCCACCTTGTGTATATACATGTGGGAGATACCAGAACTGGTTGCTTCTGGAGCTTGGTGGGCATCTTTGAAAGTTGCTGCTGCTACTGCTGCTGGGATATTCAAATATTTTAAGAGAGTTACCTTAGCTATTAACAAACAGAATGAGAAGTGTATCAAAGGCATTAGCTTGAAATCATTTTTTAATCACAGAGACTCTGTATAATTTTTTTTAAGACCAAAAGGAGATGTTTGCAATTTCTATTCTACTCGCTGCTGCAGGTATGACATCACACATTACACTTTATAATGTCTCCAGAGACAGTATGAAAAAGTTTCTAAAGACCTGGGAAGAAGCAGGCCAGTGAAAAAGCACAGAGAAAAAGCAAAACAACTCTTGACATTCATTTGCCATGCATGTCTCCAAGCCTACTCCAACTTTCTTGCCCATCTGAAGCATTGGGTGTGAGAGAGTGAGTGTTTGAAGGGTTAGTTTGTGGATCTAGTCCAACTTTAGTGACATGCAAAAGCCAGCCAAGTCCACGATGAAATGAAATGTAAGCCCTGAGCAGGCTCTTACCAGGTTACTTGAGTAATTGATACCGTTGTTAACCTGTTACTTGGCAGTGACTCATCTGTCTATTTCTTACCCAGTAATCCTATCAGAAAGCATTCCTTACTTTATTGTTAACCTCTTGATGGCTGTTCTTAAGAATATATACATATATGTGAATGTAGTCAAGGGGACATCCTTCCCCTCAGTATTTGTATGATTTGCTTATTGTTACTGTACTGAGTGAGCTCCCTTGTGCATCAGGAAACAAAATAAATGAGATTTTGTGTTTGCATTAGTGTCTGTTGTGTGTGCTGTTTTGTTGCAAGTTCTATTGGTATGATGAAAGGAGGATGAATCTGAAAATACATTTTGCTTTTCTTATAATGGATTAAAAATAGACTAGAATATTTAGCCATGGGTCAACATACACCTTCCATCATATCACCATACATGGATTTTTAAATTAAGCTACTTCAATGGTCCATCTAGATTGGCAGCTTATTTGAGTTGATTAGGGGATCAGTAAAAACATATTCCAGTTGAGTCTGTAAGGAAGCACAGGACATGAATAGATCATGAAGGCTGTGACCTAATGAATAGTTTAATCCACTAATGAATTTAAGATTCAACTATAGTGTTGGGAGGGGGTGAAACTATAACAGGTGAGGCCTAGTGGGAGGATGTAGATCACTACAGACATGTTATTTCTGTTACTGTCCACTCAACATCCTGTCTGCTATGATGTAAGTCATTCCACCCTGTCCTCCTTGTCATGATGAATTGAAACATCTGGTATTGTGAGCAAAATAAACCGTCCTCTATTAAACTCTTTATATCAGCTAGCACTTCTAGCATTTTCAACCCTTTAGAATCAGATCACTATGCTTTCAGCTTTAGCATAGTTGATTTTTCTTATTATTTAAAACATATTTGTTTATAATTTACATGAATGTGCAAGTGCCTGCTATGTGTACTATATGTGTGCCAGTGCCTGTGAAGGCCAGAAGAAAATGTCATATCTCCTGGAACTGGAGTTATAGGTGGTTGTGAGGCTCCTGATGTGGGTGATAGGAATTGAACCCATGTCCTCTGCAAGAGCAGCAAGTGTTTTTTAACTGGTAAGCCATCTTTCCAGCTCTGTTTGTCATGTTTTTAAAGCTAGAACCCAGAATAAAAAATATACCTCACATCAATAATCAGTTCATTGGGATGTAGGAAAGGCAGATCTATGGGGAAGCTACGAGTACCTACACATTAAAAACTGGGGACCTCTTCACATTACATCTTTGAGATGATACATCTCAAAGCCTTAGAAAATCAAGAATAAAATAAATCTAAAACCATATAAGGAAAAATAGTAAAAGTCAGAGTTGACGCTTATGAGCTGGCAACTAAAAAAAATAAGAGTTGATTCTTGAAAAGGGAGAAAAATAGAGGAAAGAAAAAGAACAAACCCTTAACTAAGCCAACTAAAAGAAAAAGACCTAAATTAATAAATTACGTTGAAATTGGAATATTACAGCAGGTTGCATGGAAAACAAGAGGATCATTAGATTTTATCATGAAATTTTACACTCTCACAAACTGGAAAAATCTAGAAGAAATAGAAAAATTTCTAAACATATAAGCTTACCACTTGAGCCAAGAATATATACTCAATCTAAATAAACAGCTGCCAAAACCAAGATTGAACAGGATGTCTCCCATCAGAGGAAAGCCTAGGACCAGACACATTCACAAGTGCATTTAACCAGGCATTTACAGAACTGTCAATTGTGAGCTTCAAACTATTCTATAAAATAGAAATGGAAGAGACAAATGCTCACTTTATGAAGGAAGACACTGATACAAAGTCCAGGTAACAACAACAACAAAAAAAACAAATTATTTGATGTATAAAGATGCAAAAATGGCTGGGTGTTGGTGGCACATGCCTTTTTAATCCCAGCACTTGGGAGGCAGAGGCAGGTGGATCTCTCTGAGTTTGAGACCAGCCTGGTCTACAAGAGCTGAGACCCTGCCTACAAAAAAAAAAAAAAAAAAAAAAAAAAAAAAAAAAAAAAAAAAAACCAAACCAAACAAACAAAAAAAAAACACTGCAGATTTATTTCAATAACACATTACAACCATGACTAAATTGGTCCCATTCTAGAGAAGCAAGAATGGTCCACCATCCATTAATCAATAAACATGTTAGAGCCTATAGATAGAATCAAGAACAAATATTGTATTATCATCTCAATAGATACAGAAAAAGCTTTTGATGAGTTTTAACACTGCTTCATGTTAATGAATCTAAAAAAATCAGGAATAGAAAATCATAACAAAGGTAACATTCATTAAACCTATAACCAACATTTCACGGAAGGGTGAACTGGAATGCAGTTCTACATCTACAATCAAGCACAAGATGGGATTTCTAATTTTGCCCCTGTCATTTAATGTGTAGCTGGAAATCTTAGCTAAAGTAACAAGGCAAGAAAAAGAAATAAGAGATATAAATGGGGAAAAGAGAAGTTCATTTGTCCCTATTTGTAAATGATATGTTCTTATACCTAAAATACCTTAAAGAATCTACCAGAAGACTCTTAGATTTGATAAATGCTTCCAGCAAAGTAGCAGGATACAAAAGTAACATACAAAATCATTAGTTAAAAAAAAATAAACCGCCGGGCGTTGGTGGCACACGCCTTTAATCCCAGCACTAGGGAGGCAGAGGCAGACAGATCTCTGTGAGTTCGAGGCCAGCCTAGTCTCCAGAGTGAGTGCCAGGATAGGCTCCAAAGCTACACAATTAACCCTGTCTTGGAAAACCAAAATAAATAAATAAATAAATAAATAAAAATAAAATAAATAAATAAAAATAAAAAAATAATGAAGTCACCAACCAAGAAATCAAGAAAATAATCCCATTCACAATAGCCAACAACCAACCAACCTACTAGGAATAAACCTAATCAAGGAGATTAAGAACCTCTATGACAAAAACTTGAAAACTCCAAACAAAGTAAGTCCCCAAAGACGCAAGGATTTCCTATGTTCACAGATTAGCAACATTTTTAAAATTTTAAAAATGAGGGGCTGGAGAGATGACTCAGCAGTCAACAGCACTTGAGGTTCTTGCCAAAGACTTGGATTGGGATTCCAGCACTCACATGGTGGCTCACAACCATCCATAACTCCAGTTCCAGGGGATCTGGTGCTTGCTTTTGACTTTTGCAGCCCCCTGCCCCACACACACACACACACACACACACACACACACACACAGAGTCATGCACGTAGATAAAAATAAAATTTTTAGAAGAGTCTAAAAATGACTAACTCACCAAATGAAGCCCAGATTCAATACACTTCCCATCAAAGTTTCAGTAACATGCTTTACAGAGCTTACATTCATAAAGTAACATAATATGCCCCAATTTTGAGCATAAAAAGCAATGTGACAGGTGTCATAATACCTGCTTTAAAATGATGCTTCAGAACCACACTTAGAAGAACAGCAAAGTATCGGCACAAAAGATACTGTCTTGGTCAGTGTTCTGTTGCTATTTAGAGACACCATGATCAGGGAAATGCTTATAAGAGATAATTTAATTGGGGCTTGCTTACAGTTTCAGAGGTTTGGTTCATTATCATCATGGTGGGAAACGTGGTAGGACACAGGCAAACATAGTGCTGGTGAAGTAGCTAAAGAGTTCTACATCAGAATCTGCAGGCCTCAGGAAGAGAGCCATTGGGCCTGGCTTGAACTTTGGAAACCTCAAAGACCACCCCCAGTGACACACTTCCTCCAACAAGGCCACATCTATTCCTTCTCAAAGAGTGCAACTCCCTGATGATTAAGCATTCAAATATGTGAATCTATAGGGGCTATTCTTATTCAAACCACCACAGACATGCAGACCAACGAGATAGAAGAGACTCAGAAATAAACCCATTCAGCTATACCTATTTTGACAAAAGTGGCAAAAATATGCATTAGAAACAGTTTAGGAGGTAGAACCAAAAAAAGTTGAATACACAACCATTAAAACCTTCATTTTGTTTATTTTTGACTATTAATCAAGTAATGCTAAGGTAAGGGTCTTCTGTACATAAAACTTCCCACATATGATTTCTCAATAGTATTACATGTTCGTGTTTCTATATTACAGCATGAAGTCTAAAGCCATTCATAGATTTGATCTATAGATTTGCCCCTATCCCCAGTGCCTGAGCAACTCTCAGGACAAGTCTCCATGGCTTCTCCCCCTTCCTCAGAACAGCTGTAGGGTGTGCTGGAATGTCAGCATCTGAGTATTGAGAAACTGCCCGGATTTCTGAGATGTGATGGCTCAGGTATCCCGTCCCTTGGGTGGAAGCCTGAGGACCTTCAGATGAGGTACATGTCAAACAAATGCATTTAAGACTCTGCACACCATGGGCAGTTCTCTTGACCAGTGGGGGTCCCGCTGTCTGCAAAACCTCTGGCTGTATTGTCTCCTACCACCTACTCTAATAAAGTCCTTTCGTTTGACTTACTGTATGGTAGTTTTGTCTTGCCTGACTCATGCATTTACCAGGAACTGCAGCCCACAATGGAGTGGGGTACCGTGCTGGCTAGTTTTTTGTCAACTTGACACAATGTAGAGTCATTTGGGAAGAGGGGGGCTCAATGGAGAAAATGTCCCTACCAGAGTGGTCCATGGGTGAGCCTGTGCAGCATTTCTTTGATGGATGTGGGAGGACCCAGCTCATTGTGGGTGGTGCCATCCCTGGGCAGGTGGTTCCTGGTTGTATAAGAAAGCAGTCTGAGCAAGTCAAGAGGAGCAATGCCAGTAAGCAGCATTCCTTTATGTCCTCTGCTTCAGTCCCTGCCTCAAGTTCCTGCCCTGACTGCAGCAAGAGATATGCTACATGCTGTAAGATGAAATAAACCTGTTTATCCCCCCAGACTGCTTTTGTCATGGTGTTTTGTCACAGCGATAGACCTTACACAACTTTTGGGGGAGCGTGGAGGGTTGAGACAGTTTCATGTAGCCCAGGCTGACCTATGTAGCTGACACTCACTATGTACCTGAGAATAGCCTGATCCTCTTTGTCCACTTCCAAGTACTGAGATTACAGGAGTACATAGCCACACCCAACTCTGGCTACTTCTTTTCTTTTAAAGAACAATCTAGGCAAAATATACAGTAGAGAAATTTCGTGCACATGAATTAGCAATAATAACAATGCCCAATTTGAGGGCACTGTGTTCTGTAGTAGCAATTAACAGACATACAAAAATTATTTTATGGTACTGAATTA